GATACAAGGACCCTGCATTATGGACCTCACGGTATCCCCAGCCTCACCTCTTCTTACCCTATAACCCTATAGCTTGTAACCACACACAAATTTCATTTCTTTAATATAGTTTTTTTTTTTTTTTTACTCTGATTCAAGCTAGTTTTGCCCAGACAATGGCAATGTGACTCACTTGCTCCTCTCCCCGCAACCATGCCAGCTCCTTTCATTGTTAAGCTTTAGGACATTAGATTACCAGAGCCTCAGGTCTGTAATCATGAGGACAATAGGTTTCTGTTTGACTTTAGACGAAGGATACTATCTTGGCTTTAGATGTGTTTCAGCCCCAGGCCGGAGGCAGAATTACAACCCCACCAGCCAAGGAGCCAGGTCACGGGACCAAAGGGGATGACTCCATTGCTGATTCCAGAACCAAATACAATGATCAATTACCTCATCCCTTTAGTTTCCATGACTACCAATTTTTTCCTTATATAATCTGTATTCCCAAGATACTCAGGGAGCCATGCCTTGAAGCAATAGCTCGCTTCTGTTTCTGAGACTTTCGATTCTCTAATAAACACTTATTCTATTTACCCCAACTCCTGTGTCGGTCTTTTGGCTTAGTGGAACAGGCAGCAAGAGTCTCGGACTCATTTGCCCTCTGGTTTCAGTAAGATATTTACTCAGGGATGCTCACTGAAGCACTGTTTACAAAACACCAAAAAAAGGAGGTGGGATAGAGCCCATCCTAAGTGTCTATCCACTACAGGGCAACTAGTTTAAATAAATTATGTACGTTGGTATACTGTGCAGCATTTATAAAGAATGAGGTGGAACTATACAGAGTAATGTGGAAAGACCTCCAAATTATATAAGTATAAAAGGCAAGAACAGTGAAATAAACAAGAACACAAAGGTACACACCATTTATGTATAAATTTTCTGAATCTTTGCACTAGATCCTTTAACAGTGGTTACTTACAGGGAGAAGGGGAAGCAACTTGGACTTAAATATTTTTAAGTTCTTTAATATAGGAAGTAGTCTATCATGTATATTTATTACTTAAAATTTTTAACGCGTGTTTTGTGTTGTTCTGGCATGCTTTTCCTTTCAGGAACCAGGACAAGCCTAGAGAAAACAATTTGAGCAGGGAAAAAAAGATGATGAGTACCTGCAGAGTAAAGATATTTACTGATAAATCTGCTGGGTTAGTGACTAGTGGAAAGGGAGGGAATCCACTCAGGTGGCAATTTTCGGACCAGCCCCGTGTGTAAATTTAAGAGCTAATGCTGAATGAGAGCTCACATGTGTCAGACACTGTGCTCAGCCCTTTCCAATTATTGTCTCATTTAATCCTACCTATGAGGAAGCACTATTATTATCCTCATTTTACAGAAGGGAAAATGGAGACATGGAGCATTAACCAACTTGCTGGAGGGCACACAACTCAATAGTGGAGGGGCTGAGATTCAAACTCAGGCAGTGCCACAGCACAGCCTGCACGCCTGTGAGTGTCCAACAACAGACAGCAGCCACCACTGAGGGGCTGGTATAGGGGAGGCAAAGACACGGGAAGCTCTCTAAAAATCTGTCCAGCCCTATTCTTGTCACAGTATCTGGCATTTAATAAAAATTCCGCTTTGCTTTCAGCTTATAAGAGTCAACATAATAAACTCTAGTCAGTTCTAAAAAATTATGAGCCGTCTCATATGGTAGGGAAATTATACAGTTAAAAGGTCAAAGACTGAAGAACACTGTGCAGTCAAATGCCTTAAAATTGTAATGGATTAATTTTGGGCATAAGAAAATTTCAACTCCAAAATAACTAAATAGCATTCAAGGAAAGTCAGTTTTATATGACATGATCAGACATTTTCTGAAAAACGTTTCTCTGTTGCTATATACCAGGAAGTTAGGTTAAGGCACTAAGGGGTTAGTTCTGAAACTTTTTAGTTACATCTAAAATA